TGATGAGGAACAAGCAATGTTTTACCCAGATAATGATTACAGCACATTTACATCCTGCGCTCGGCTGCTCGGAGGCTTTGTCGCAACAATGTACTGGCTTCGCTTGGCTGTTTCGGAAGACCGTATGCTGCAGCCAACTGTTCGACTGAAGCGAGGGATGGACTGCCCACACGAGCTGCACTTCGACAAGACTATGGAGCAGGAAGCCACCTCAGCAGCCAGAGGCATGGCCATTGCATATCGAGCGGCCATAGACGCGTCCGTGCCGATCAAATGGGTTGTGAGGAAGAAGTCCAAGGAGCTGATCCTTGGCCAGTTTTCATACATTAATGAGGACGTTCAGGATTTTCCCCTCCGGGTTTAGGGTTCAGGCTTCAGGGTTTTGGGGTGAGGGTTTGCCCTAAATCCGCCCCATGTAGCCAAGGAGGACAAAGAGCGGCTTCTCTGTGGTGTCGGCGTCGGTGATGAACTCCAAAATGAAAATGCTGAAGAAAGGCACACTTGCCGATGTGGTGACAATTCTGAGACGCTGCAACCTGGCTGGAATCCTACACCCTAATTAAATACCATGGTTGATGTTTTTGGGGTTTAGGTTTTGAGGTTTCTCTCTAGATCCATTCCATTTGGCGGAGGCACCGCGTGGGTTTGATGGACAGTGGCGTGCCCCACGGTCGGAGTCAGAGTCAGCATGCAGCGGTGCAAAAACATGAGCGAGGGTTTCCATTCTTCAATTTAGGGTTTAACCCCTAAGCCCTTAAAGCCATAGTAGTCAAGTGACACCTCTTCGGCACAGATTTTATTGTTTCCCATGAGATCATAACCCGGGGTCGAAATCCATGCAGGCCCTGACCCCTGAATCCTAAACCTAAATCCGGGTTAAGGTTTCAAGGGGTGAGGTAGTGTTTACGGTTTATTTTTGAGGGTGCAGGGGTCGAGACCTGTAGGGGTCCCGCTCACAACGTGGAGTCCACATCTGAAAGCAACATCTGGGAAAAGTACCCAAATAAAACTTCACACCCTAACCCAAACCCTTAAACCCTAAACCCAGGGTTGAGGCTTAGACGTCAGGATGGGAATTTCGGTGTCAGGGTTTACAGGTTTAGGGTCTTAGGGCTCCGACTAGGATGTTAGGGTTTAAGGGATGAAGAGTTGAAGGGTTAAGGTTTTGAACCCCTGAACCCCAAACCTTGACCCACCCGAAGCACCCCAAACCCTAAACCCTACCTAGCAGTGAATCAGAGAGGATGGGTTAAACTAGGGCTTAGGATGCTGGAGTTTGAGGCGTGGGATTTGGGCCTTTGGAGTCGGAAGAAGTCGGAAGTCGCATAACCCTCAACCCTAAACCCTTCATAAGCCCCAAACCCCTACAAGCGGGGTAAGGTTCAGGTTAAACCGTCTCGAACCCTCAATCCCCAACCCTGAACCCTGAGCCATCAACCCTGAATCCGCAACCCAAAACTCCCTGAACCCTAAGCCCTCAACCCTGAATCGGAAACCCTAAACTCCCTGAACCCGTAGCCCTCCACCTTGAATCCGAAACCCTCAGCCTTAAATCCGAAACCCTAAACTCTAAACCCATCGAAACCTTCATTTCCGAATTCTCAAATGCCCATCCAAGGTTCGGTTCGATGATGACATTCTCGCGCGGGCAAAAAAGGATAATGAATATATCAATATATATGTATGATAGTGAAAATATGTAGAAAATATGGCACCATCAAATAGAAGTTTAAACTTTTATTTGCCTGGCATTTGAACAGCTTAGAAGGGATTGCTAGAAATATGTCGTAGTCAAGCCCATTAAAGAACAAAGAATAGGTTTGATAAAGTATTTTGTATGAAAGCCAACAAGGAAAATCGAACGAGTGTTTCTATAGAATCCCAATGATGAACCAGGTTAAGGACCTTTGGAAGGGGGGGGAATTTGGATTTCGGCCTGGAAGAGTTCCAGCTTACAGTTTAGGTGAGTTCTAGGTTTAGGGGTTTAGGGATTTTAGAGGATCTAGATTGCTAGGCTCAGGGTGAAGCATTCTGAGTTCAAGCTTTCATGCTCCAAGTGCATGGGCGCCGGAATACAGGGCGATGATGAACAATGACTCTCTCTCTCTCTCTGTCTCTGTCTCTCTCCCTCTCTCTCCCTCCACATCTCTGCAAGGCCCTGAATAATCCCTATGTGGACAAGCCCAGGTAGGAGGGAGAGATGGTAAGCTCCAAACTCCGGAAACCCCAACACCCTGAACCCCAAATCCCCTAACCCTTCATAAGCTCTTTACCCTAGACCCCGAAACAATAATAATTAGCTTGACTCCATAGTATTCCACAGCACGCTCTACACCCGAAGCCCTCATTTAGCCCATAAACCCTTGAATTCCCAAATCCCAAGCCTACAACCCCTGGAAACTTCTGATGACTTCTTGACAGGTGGCCGGGGGATCGCGACGGCCGAGTGGGGAAACCCAGTCGATCCCACAGCCCGCAATAGTGGATCTATATCAACGTATAGGGCAGATGTTCTGGGTTGCTGTTAACCGATGTCAGTTAGAGTTAGGTCAATTCTGTTGGTGTCGGCGCTGGTCTTACGGTGTATGACAGTATGGAAATTATTGGCATCCGCCTTTCATGCAGTTGAGTGGTGCTGGGTTCTGGCGGCTTATAACATGAACCTAAGCCCCCAATCCTTCACCAAAGCTCAAGCCTTCAGACCGAAAAAACAAAACTGCGAAGCTCTCGCACTCCTTGACAGACCTAAATCCCATAATCCCAATCAGTAGAAAATCCGCCAACCCCGGAGCCCTAAGCCAGGCAACTTATATAGTCCCCACACCCCCACACTTTGATTAAATCCACTCCAGGAGCAGCTGGTCCTGCTTGTGACAGTCTTTGCACACGAGCTGACCTTTGGTACCACCCGGCACGATTTGAGAGTTTAGGGCTTATGATGGTAGAGGTTTTGTGGTTGAGGCTTTGGGTCCAGGATTTGGGATACGGGGCTTATGGAGTTTAATGCTGCAGAGGCAGAGACCCCCAAAATATGGGTTTCTTGCATGATGCAGGGGGCGATGCAGAAGTCAATTTAGAGACTAGGGCTCGGAGCATGGCTTGGAATGAAGTTTCGTCAATATGCCTCTTGAGTTGAAAATCGTAATTTTTGGGTAGGTCCCGACATTCCTGCCATGTCCTGCAGGCTCTACTGAGGGCCTCAGAGTGTCTTGTGCCGGTTCGCTTGCTTTTGCTCTTTTTGCATAGAAGTCCATGTCCGCCATGCAAGCTTGTCAAGCGAAGGCAAAATGAAAGCCATGAAAATTGAAGAGCTGGTGCCGCCTCTCGCTTGCAATCCCCCATACGATCATCAGGAATCATACTAACACCCTCACTGATCCAGTAACGCTGCAAAAGGGGTGTGTCAAGCCATCACATCGCCGTCCCCCTCTGCAGTGGGGGTCTGGCAATGTACACGTGTGCTCTTGGCGTAGGTTTTTCATCACCACGTCTGCGTGTATGGGCTCATGCCCGGCCTGCAAGAGCGTTGGGGAACATGTAGGCCTTACAGGGGTAATATAGTAGTATTGGGGGGATATGAGGGTTATATAGGGATAATGGAAAAAATGATGGAAACTAAGGTTTCTCGGTTCATACTCGCGCGCTGTCTTGAATATCTTGCACTGGTGCGGTTAGCCTGGCGATTGGTAGAAACTGACATGGGTAGTGCAGGCTGAAGCTTCTGATTCTCTGGCTGCCCGGGTAGTGTCTTGATTTTCCATATTAGAGGCGGGTTCTAGATTCTAGATAGGATGACCCCTCGTAGACACTTTCATACCAGTCGAGTGTGTTGCTCATCCGCTCAACATGCTCGTCATTCTTTGGACAGTGTGTCTTAGACTACAAACAATAGCATACAGTGTCGGCATAGCGTTGTGGAACTAACGGCAACACGCCGAAGCCACAAACTCTGATCAATGTTGGCCATCACGCATGTTTGTATAGAGCCATGGGACTTCTACTTGTACCCTTGAGGCTGCTTTGAGGGCTGACCACCTGAAATCATGAACGTCTTGCGCAAGGGCAGTGGCCCAAAGTTGAAGTAGGCAGAAGGCCTTGGTCGACAAGCCCGACGCCGCACTACAGTGCTACAGCCGGAGAGACACAAATGCATTCCACTGATTGCGGTTTGCGGTGATGTGGTGATGTGTTGAGTTCGGGTTCATGGTTGTCCCCCTGGGGACTTAGATTACAGCGTGCATGTCACGAGAGTTCTGTTATCGTGGTTCGGTCGCAGTCCGAGCCGTCAAGCCCAAAGCGTCAAATGACAGATCCTACAAACAGCAAAGAGCTGAAGGAAAGCAGAGACAGCCGCGGCCAGAAGAGTTACGATCAGCTCATAACTAGGCTGGAAGCCAAGAAGCACACATCTCCTGCAGGGTTGAGCCCCTCCGTGTTGAAGTCCTGCAGCATTCAACATTATGATTCATGATGCTTTAGCTACAGTTTGTTTCTTATCCTGCCGCGCGATGCCCATCTCGAAACTCCAGAGCTTTGTACCCTTGAGGAGGGCAGGGAGCAGCCATGCGCAACCCTGCATAGAGGCTTCGTCGCTCCAAGTATCACGGGCTCAAAGTGTACATTTTCTGTAAGACTTCAAGCCTCAAACTTTCAAACGTTCAAGGGTTGCCGAGCGTCAAGTGTCAAAGATTTACGCCTTCTGAATTACTATCCCTCACTCCACTGGCCTTTGAGGAAACCCTGACGTTTTATCTGTCAGCGCTCTCAATGCTGTAAACGAAGCTCTGAGTCTTAGCTGAGACCTCTCCGCGCCAGGCTACCACCGCGGGTGGCGTGTGGTGGAAAGTAGACGACCTAGACTTTCAGGACTTTGACTGCTAGCATCTACTGAGGGTTAGGGGGCTGTTTGATCCTCAAAGGGTTATGTATCTAGTTCATCTGCAGGCTTCTGTCCATACTAATTAACAAGGCAAGGTCAGGCTCCCCCTAGACTCGAGACCGGACCCCTGGATGCGTTTTGTTTTGAAATGGAAGTCAGCAGGAAGACTCTCGGTAGCAAGTGGGGTCATGGTAGAAGCAGCGCAAATGAGATTCTGACCGCGCTACCCAAGCTTCTACCGCGCTGAGAACTGTCCATGAATTCTCACAACTTCATGATACAACCCCTACATAATCCCAATATGTGCCCCATTATATAAAGATTTCAATTTCGTTTGCCATTCTTACCACATAACCCCTATGTAACCCCTATATAAAGGTGAAGGGAAGCCCATTCAAAGCATCCCACAAGGGCCTCCCGAGTGTTTAGCAGGATGAAGCCAGGGATGCGGCATGAGGGCCATGATGGCGCTGTTGATACTCAAT